TTCCACATTGGCCTGGCTTAAACGTCTGAGACTTCAAAGCCCACCCCCAGTGATATATTTCCTCCAACAACATCATACCTACTCCAGCAAGGCCACATCTCCCAATAACGCCAGTCCCTATGATCCTATGGGTCCACTTTCATTCATACTACCACATTCCATTCCCTGGTCCCCATAGGCTTATAGTTATATCATAATGCAAAATGCATTTAGTCCAACTTCAAAGTCTCCATAGTTTAAGAGCATCTCAAACCTGTAAAAGTCCAAAGTTCAAAGTCTTTTTTGACACTCATGGAAATCTCTTAACTTGTAATACTCTATAAAATCAAAATCAAAAAAGCAGATCACATACTTCCATCATATAATGGCACAAGATATACATTGCCATTCCAAAGTGTAGGGAAAGGAGCATGGTGAGGAAATACTGGACCAAAGCAAAACTGAAAATCAGCTGGGCAAATTCCAAACTTTGCATCTCTATGTCTGATGTCAAAAATACGCTTCAGATCTCCAATTCCTTTAAGCTTTTTTTGACTGTAACACACTTCTTCCTCTTGGGCTGGTTTCATTCTGTTAGCAGCTCTCCTTAGCAGGTATCCCATGACTCTGACATCTCCAACATTTTTGGGTCTCCAAGGCAATCCTTTACAGCTTCACACAATGGCCTCTCTAGGCTTCCATTCAGGGACATCCCTGACATATGCCTGACCTCAGTAGCTTTCCTTAGTCATGGAGGGAGATTCCATAACCCTTTTCTTCTGTCCTTGACTCTAAAATCAGGACCACGTGACTGAGGGTGCCAAGTTCTGCAGCTTGCTGGGGCTGGAACATGGTCCCCTCATTCAAATATATTTTCAACGGCTTTCTGGTTTTGATGATTTGTTTTATTGCCCAATCTTGGCTGTCCTGAAACTTGATCTGTAGAGCTAGCTTGCCTTGAACTTAGAGATCTCCTTGTCTCTTCCTCTGGAGTGCTAGGATTAAAGGAATGCACCACTATACTGGGCTCGAAGCTTTTTTTTAAACTCCTTTTCACAAGTTGGAAACTTAGCTGGGTGGGGTCTTGCCATGAGGTCACCACTCCCTTTATTTTACCCAACATCAGACTTTTCATTAATCTGTTTATCTCCTTGAACACAGGATTTACTTCTAATCCACTTTCTGGTGCTCCTTTTTTCTTGAACTGTAGATTTTGTATTTTTCTTTGCTCAGCTTGCTCCTTTTCATTATAGATCTTTATAAGAGTGAACACTAATAATAATAATATGACAGAGTCAAAACTAGGCTGTTTTGAAATTTCCTCTGGCAATGCCATCATTAATCCAAAACTCTTCAATTTAGTCTCAGGCAGACTTTTAAGACAAGGGCAAAAAGTAGCCACATTCTTAGCCAAAATATCACAGGAACTGTCTCTAGGCTACATACAAATATTTTCTCCTCTGAAATCTCTTGAGCCAGGATCCCACAGCACCACTGTCTTCCATGCTCCTTCCTAGTATAGCCCATTAAGCCCCACTTAAAGTGTTCAACTGCTTTTTTTGGTCCAAAGTCCCAAAGTCCATATTCCTCCAAACAAAAGCATGGTCATGCCTATCACAGTAATACCCTAGTCCCTGGTACCAACTTCTGTCTTAGTTAAGGTTTCTATTGTTATGAAGAGACACCATGACCACAGATACTTTTTATAAAGGAACACGTTTAATTGAGCCTAGCTTAGAGTTTCAGAGGTCTAATCCATTATCATCATGGTGGGAAGCATGGCAGTGTGTAGGTGGACATGGTGCTAGAGAAGCTCAGTGTTCTACATCCAGATCAGCAGGCAGCAGGAATAGAATGCTACACTGGGTGTGGCTGAGCATCCTTAATGTCCACTCCTTTTTTTTTTTTTTTTTTTTTTTTTTTCCCTTTGAGACAGGGTTTCTCTGTGTAGCTTTGGAGCCTGTCCTAGAACTCACTCTGTAGGCCAGGCTGGCCTGGAACTCACAGAGATCTGCCTGCCTCTGCCTCCCAGTGCTGGTATTAAAGGCGTGTGCCACCACCGCCTGTTAAAGCCCACTCCTAGTGACACACTTCCTCCAACAAAGCCACACCTACTCTAACAAGGCCACACCTTTCAATAGTGCCAGTTCCTCTGAGCCTATGGGGCCATTTTCTTTCAAACTACCACACCTCTGAATACTGCATGCATCCAGAACCGCATCTTCAATATATGAGACTTTGCGAGGTGTGAGGGGGGAATTTGTATCTAAACCATGACCATACACATCTCCATTTCAATAGGAGAAAATTCAGATGCTAAATCAGTTTTTCCAAAGCATTACTCTCTGTTGGAGAGATTCTAAGGCTTTTGCTCTTGCTCTATGCACTGGAGTTGCGGCACACGCCTGTGCTATGGTTGGTTTAGTCACTCCTGCATAAGTTGCTCCTTTGTTTGGAAGTTTGGATACTTGGTGAAATATTCAGAGGTCATGTTCTCTACCATCTTTGTAGTCAGGGCTTGGCTCAATATATTTGTGACAGAGAATACCAAGTCATCTGTTTCTTCTCGCATAAACAAATTAGGAAACAAGTAAGTATTAGGATCTATAAATTCTCTGTTGTATTAAGACAGAAGGAAAAAGAGTCTTCTAACTTTTCCCCACGTGTCCGTTCTTCTCAGCATTGGCCAGGGCGGATAGAGAAAGGAAGATAATGTTTCCTAAGAGCTTACTCACTTTAAGTTTCAATTCCAGGTGTTGTTTCTGGACTGTGTTTGGATGTGGCTAGGCATACACAGCACCCTTTGAGGGCAGCCGTGAGATCTATATACAGAACAATAGCATTAAATAGGAAAGGATAAATGAGACTGTGAGGGGGAATTCGTATCTAAACACAGTACTGAGACTGTGTCAGACTCCTTGGCAGTGCTGAGGATGTAGCTCAGTTTGGAGTCCTGTCTGGTGGTATGCAGGAGGCTCTGGGTTTGTTGCCCAGCACTGCAGAAACTGGGTGTGGTGGCACATCATTGTAACCCCAGTAATCAGGAGGTGGACGCAGGAGGATCAAAAGTTGGAGGTCATCCTCCACGACAAAGTGAGATTGAAGCTAGCTACTTCAAAGAAACCAAACCAGATAACGAGAAATGTCATGATAGTCTCCTCATCCTTTCTACTTTGTCAGTTGAGACTTATCCGTGTGGCCCATGGATGGGGGCTTGGGGCAATGACTCTGGGTCATCAGCTTCCTGCTGAGAAACATGGGGAAACACTGAACAGTCTCCAGGAGTGAACTCCTCTTTCCTGAGATCCTGGCCCATGCAAAGGTATTTTTATTGATAACCTTGAGAATTTTAGATTGTGAACATGGACATTGTTGAGATTATACAAGCTTTAAAATCAGATTTTTATAGACTACTTGGATGGAAGGCCAGGAGGGGAGCAAAGAGCTTCTCCACACCTGTATTAGTCGCTACAAAGTGAAACAAATTTGCAAGCACAGCCTTGAAATCAAAGGGAAACAGAATCCCTGAAGGAGTTCCAGTGAACAGGAGATGGTGATTGGAAATGCATCATGTTAGAGCTGCTGCAAAGGAAATGTAGCAGTGGGAGTCTGCAAAGGACACTGACACTCAGTTCCCTCCAGTGAGGTTTGTTAGCACGAGAGGGCCTCAAGGGCATCATGGGGCCTCATGGCAGGAGGGAGAGCATTGGATAGAAACAATATCTGGAGATTGATCTGGACATGATGAGGCCTTAGAGGGAAGCAAAGTCTCTCTAAAGCTTTGGAAAGGAGAGAGAGAGAGAGAGAGAGAGAGAGAGAGAGAGAGAGAGAGAGAGAGTGGAGCTATCTACTAGCTAACCAAAATTAGCCA